GCATGAATTAAAATACAAGTTTTTAAAGCTTGCCCTACCTGTTGGTCTCTCTCTCTCTCTCTCTCTCTCTCTCTCTCTCTCTCTCTCTCTCTCTCTCTCACTCACAAACACATGTCTCTCAAACATATTTCTGGATATCATTGTATCTCACCTGCCCGTGCTGTTTCTCTGTGTAGACCGCGGTCAGCCCCCCTACCAGCTGAGTGCTCTGGTGTTGTGTCCTTTATAGGGCAGGTCAGTGGCCTGACAGCAGCTTGACGTCACAAGCCTGGAGCTGTAAATGCTAAGAGCACTAACTATATTGTACCTTAAAGTCAAATTGAGATATGTGTGTATATTGTTTTGCAATAGCTCTGTGTAATAATAATAATAATAATAATTACTGTACATTAATAATCTTTATTTGTATATAGCACTTTTCATGCAAGTATTGCAGCACAAAGTGCTTTAAGAAGGGGGAGAATATAAATAGATTGAATATAAAAGCAAGAAAAATAAGATGGAAAACAAAACACACTGAATAATAATAACAATAATAATAATAATAAGACAATAGCATAAACATCGATACAAACCGCAGCAGCATCAACAGGTATCCTTTCTCTTCTACTCTGTTGTTATCTTTTCTACATCAGTGGGGGAGATTTGAATTTTTAAAACGAAAACTCTTTTTGCATATTTATAACACTGCAAAGAATAATTCTGTCTATTGTAATGGACCGTTCTTCATAATTACAGTATTCATCGGTTATGATTGTCGTCTGTTTTCTTATTTCATTGCAGGGTGTCAGTTCTCACAAACCCTGCTTGAAACAGAATAAGTTCACAAAATTTCCCACCCAACTATTAATTTGCCCACCAATCATCACCTAACTTGTATCCTGTGGGTAGGCATGTTTGGACACCAAGTGTACTGCTCACACGTGATCTGACAGTGAGTGACACACTGCACCATGGTGCGGAAAATATAGCCAGGCCTCTGACCACAAAACTGTTAATGATGTCCCAGCAGAGTTCAGCCATTGAGCGTCTAGTTGAACTTGTGGTGTGACTTCATTTAATTTACAGGGATATGTTCAGACCCACTCAATTGTGCACCTTCCTCTCACATCGTAAGTGATTGCATGGGGCCAGTGATCTTTAATGAAAAGTAACGATCACTTATTTGGGGGTAACTTTTGCACAGCACAGTTTCTTAGACAGCGCCATATGATGAGGGTAAGGATGACAGCTCGATACTGCAACATATTATGTGCAATTTATGTCAGTCTTCAAGTAGTTTAAAATCATAGATAGAGATCAATGTGGACAGTGACAAAAGATACTTGAGGGCAATCATCAATAAGAACACTGTTGTTACATACAGTGCAGCCAGTCACAGCAACACCCATTCAATTGACTGATTTTACTCTGTATGTGCACGAAGACCTGGGAACAAAAGTTTCTCATTTGTGAACAGCGATGTTAAAGAATTTAAGCTGCAAGCCAACATGCTCATTCATCACATCAACATAGCCTCAAAGATGAAAATAAAAGAGGCCACTTGTATATCAGATTTAGTCATGAACGTAACAGACCTGTCCTTGTCCTCACTGACAGTTACACATGGTCGAGGAAAGGACACAGTCAGAGAGACGTTAAGGGCTCCTTCACAAGTCCCTGTTAGATATTCAAAGCATCGCTACCATGGAGACAATTCCCCCGAAATAAATGCTTTGAGAAAGTGTTGGTGTATCAGTGGGAATGTTATTGTTAATAAACATGCTTTCTCACATTCTGAGCCACGATAATCACCATAACTTGATTTATTCACATATCAATGGTAGACTGTTTGATTAGTATTAACAGCCGATGCAAAGACGGGTAACTGTAAATAGGGAAAATGTCAGAATCCACAATGTTGAGAAGTGTTGGAGAAGTGTTGAGAACGTTTGCAGTCATTGTTGGAACCATGTTGTTTTTTACCAGCTTTCCTGTGAAGTGTCCATTCCATTCCAAGGATGCCATTTTCTCAGCAGACATTTCGACTTAGTCATAGTAGGAAAAGCATAGGTGTTGATAATATTAGCGATGGCTCTGTTCAATTCAAGTTTCCCAGTGATCCATAACAGTGTGATGGTGAGCCAGCATGCACAATACCAGGACCCTGAAACTAGAGCAGCTTAATGGCATTCAGCCATCATTGATATTATTTACGTCTGTGCTTTTGTTACTGTGACATGCCAAAATGTGTTTCTGTGAAAAAAGGATACACTCTAACAACAATACACACAGCGTGACTTGGGGTCTGGCATATAGAGGGGCCTTGACTCCTTGGGCCTGTTTCCAGTGGGCCCGTGCATATTATACATATATATATATATATATATATATATATAAGTATTATGACACTGACACTCTGTTGTTTTACTGGCACTGTACTTCAGCTCATGGATTTGATAGGTAACGCCAACTTTAAAGTGCTGACTCATTTTTAAGGTTTAACCCAACCTGTGTGTAGAATGTGTTGCATTCTGCCATCAGCAATGCTTGTTGTTTGAAAGAGCTCGAGTACAGCCCAAACTATAAAATCACTTCCCTAATAGGTTTCGACTGCACTGTATCAGCAATTCTTTGAGATGCCTTTATTGTTGTTTATCAACAGTTTTTAAAGCCATTTTGCTGGATAAAAAAATAAAATAATGAGTCACAAACAACAAACAAACAAAGCTGATGCAGTCTTCGCTGTGTGTGAAAGACAGGATCTTTCGTACAGAGATTTGCACAAGTTTATCTTTTGTGTTTTATGAACATAATATCAATATTTTATTTTTTTAAATATCACAGTTATGTCAATATACAGTATATCACAACATCCCTGGTGGACTGAAGTTTTGCATCACTTTGAAGATGCAAACACATGTTCCACAATGTTCCTGTCTGTGATGTTTCATATGACCTTTCATATACTCAATCTTATATAATATATCCAGCAGTATCTTCTTTTCAAAACTGTATCAATACAAATATCAGTCCTAACAAATATTCCCACACCCAAAATTTAACTTAATGTAAAATCTTAGTCTTTCCATAAAATGTGAATGGGGTCTTTTTGCCACTTTGTGTGTTACAAACTGCAGCAACACACTCAAAAGCGATGAAACAAACACATCAGTTTGAAAGGAGAGGCAGCACGTCTCCTCTGGGAGCAGCAGGGGGCAGTGTAACACCATGGTTTGAAAACGTGCACAAAAACGCAAGTTTTCGTTTGTAATGACACTTAGCGAGAGAATGGTTACAGACAGAGAGAGAAAGAAAACGGAAGTGTTTTAATGATGCAATAGCAGATCGGGTTTGTGATGTAGGATTCAAATGGGCTACCCTATCCTCACGTCCTGCAATTTGCAGCGCAAGGGAGTTTAGCTTCCCTGACAACAGCAACAGTGGCACTACTGGCATGCCTACTATCTCCTCTCCTTCCTTCCTCCCCTCACCTGCATGCCCACATTAAATGGCCCAGAGCCAAACTGACTGGAGTCCTGTCGGCACTCTTTGGAGCCTCAGTAGACCCAGTAACACTCTCCTTTGTTCCATCAAACTTCAGAGGAGACTGAGGTATTCCCTTTCAAAAGTAAGTACCAGTGATAACCCAACCTGCTGTCAAAGAGTGTGTGCTGGTTTCTTATGACCGTACCTCAAAACCAGTCTGAGATCAGGATATTGATTTCAGTCTCTGTACACACTGCCAGCACTCATTAGGGTTTTTATCTGTGCGGTGTGACTCAGCCACATTGGAGAGAGCAGTAGAGAAAGGGTAATGGCAATAGAGGAGTGGGGATAGAAGGATGAGATGGTGAATGTAACATGATGAGGTAGAGGTGGGGAGGAAAAGAGGACAGTGAGGGGTGAAAAGTGAAACAGCACGGACAAAATACCAGATTTCAGACCAGGTGCTCTCAGAGAGGCAGACTTTCTCAGAGTCCAGTTTGTATACATTTTTAAAGATTGCTGTTGTGCACTGGGCTGGACCTCACACAAATAACGCAGAGCAAAAATCGCATAAAGGGTATAAGCTGCAGATGAATAGAGGGAGTTGTATTCGGGTTTTATGGGGTGACAGGAGTAGAAAAGGAGTAAACTTTGGATACTGAATCCACACCTCTTGTGGATCCCTGAGGGACAGACTAAAGAACGGCCTCCCAATTCACCTCCTCCATGGCTTATTCTTTCATTAAGACCGAATTGGCAGCAATGGACTTAAGAACAGTGAGAGGTCTATTCTGCTGCGGTAATAAAGACAGCAGTTTTTAATTCAGCCTGCACCCCTCAGCCAGTGACTGGCTGGCTGGAGTGAATCGTCTTCTATTCAGCCCTCTCTATTCAGCCATCACTCTCTGTCTGCCTCCCTATCGCTAAGCATCTTTTTTCTTCACTCAGCGAGCAATCTCGTTTTAGGATCCTGTGGCTAAAGCTCTCCCGCCCCTTCAACTGTGTCCTCAGTGAGTCTCAGCCACAGTATGGAGCCTCCTCTGCAACTGAAGACATCCTGTTTGTCTCCAGTGAACCTACACTTTGCCTCTCTATCCACAGATGCACTTTTGTGACAGTTGTGTAATGCCAAGGAGTAGATACTAGATGTCTGGTATACAGCGCAGAAGTGACACACTTCACGAAAATGCCACGATTTTTCCAAATATACACCTCCCCATGAAGGGAAAGTCATCACACGTATCTTACGTGCATGTGCCTTTTTCTGTGTGTACTTGTTTTTCAGATTTAAAAGTTAAAGTTATTCATGCACTGTAAGAACACAGTGGCTCTTTGAGCAGCCTGTCTTTGGCTTTCTGCTGAACAGCACTGCTCTGTATACAGCGAGAACTGAAGGTTTTTCCAAACAACCACTGCTCACATATATCATTGCTTGTATATATATATACTGTATATATATTTATATGTATATATTATTACAGCATATTGCACAAGGTAACATTTTATGCTTTTGCAAATAAAAATCTCAACTCTTTCAGGTTATGGTGTTTTAATGATTGTATTATAGTTGTACTGAAACCAGAATATAAATAAAACATGATCTTAAAGAGAATTACAAAATCTTCATATGTCATGACTACAAGTCCAGTATAGATTATATAAATGTCAACATAGCAGGACTGTCAATTACAAAAATAGCACTTTCTTTCAAGATGGACTGTCCACATTTTCTAGTTCCTCCAGTTGAAAGCTGTTTCCCTCTTTGCTACATCACGTCATTCACTTTTTATATCTCCGAAACTCATTTCTATATTTGTGCAATAAATATGTTTCAGTTTATCCATACAAAACTCTTGCTCTTTTAGCTAAATCAACCCAAAGATACATCACTCAGAACCCATATTCTAAAACATGTATTGCACGCAGCTGTGCAAGACAGGTGTTTATCCTTCCATCACTTTAGAGTCAGTATGCTCGTTGATGATGACTTCACTACAGGTTTGAGACTTGGCTGCAGCAACTTATTTAGCAACAGCACACTTTAAAGATAGTCACCACAAAACATCAGATTGTCAATAGTTCTTAATTAAATCCAAACCAGACTTCTGTTTGGCCTTTGTGCTGTATGTTTCCACCTTCATCCTTCACTCTAGAACTCATACTGGGAAACAAACATGGTGACTTTGGTGATGTACCTCCCCAGGTGGACTCGTCTCTCCAGCTCGCTCATCTCCACTTCTGCTTCCAGTGTGGCAGGGCCCTGCACTGGGCTCACCAGCATCAGCTGACCTGTCACACGGTCTGAACGCTGAACTGTGAAGTGGCGCCGAGCTTGCCTTCCCCCCAGCAGGGAGAAGCGAAGCGTGTCTCCAATTGGACGTAATGCTGAGACCCTGAACATGACACGAGGAGCTGACAGGTTGGACACGATAGCCATGTAATGGTAGGAGTAGGAGTTTGGTGTCTGGGAACATGCCTTGTTGTCCACAGGACAGGGGTTACGTTCACAACGCCTGGAAAAAGAGTTAATCCAGGAGTGAGAAACGCTTTTTAATCTATGGAGTCAGACTAGTGTCAAAGTTCATATGTGGTCTAAAACTGCATCCCCATATCTACTTATTCAAGCACAAAAAATCACTATTATTTCTACATTGGGGAGGTAACCTGTTTTGGATGCTTACATAGGCGACGTCTTGACATATGTAGCATTAGGGATTTTGGGGCAGTCCACACGGACACACTGGAAACCACCGTGCGTGTTAATGCACATTTGGTCCTTTGTGCAGTTGTTTTGTCTGGTGGCACACTCATCAATGTCTGTGAGGAAACATAAATACAGTAAGACATTTACACATACAGAAAGGTTATTTGGGACACCATTAACTGCTTGCTTTCTCCTCACTTACTCATCTTTAATTGGCCCCTGGCTAGTAGGGGGAATATCGGAAACTATCTTGTGGAAAACTTTGAAATTAAGAAAATGAAAAGTGACAACAAATACAGAAAAAGAAAAACATACCTTTACAGCTGCGTCCATCGCGGGTCACATTGTATCCGATAGGACATGAACAGCGGTAGCCTCCAGGTGTGTTAACACAAGCGTGTAAACACAGTCTCCCAGCCTGGCCATTATGGAACAGCTCACATTCATCTATATCTAAATGTGAAGAACACGCACACACAGTTAGCATTCCACATGGGGAAAGAAATGGTTACAGGGGAGGTATTAGTCCTACCAGTGCAAGTGTTGCTGTCCCTGCCAGAGATGGTGTATCCTGGCTCACAGGTGCAGTGGGTGGTCCCCTGCATTATAGTGCAGCGTGATGGACGAACAAAAGGCCCCATGGTGGCAGCCGGCAGGGTGGCAGCCGCCGCAATGGCTGGGGAGGTGGCGGCAGAAGTGTTTGTCATGGTGACAAAGACTGAATGAGAAAGACAAAAAAGAGAAATAGTAAGTGTTTTCATTCTCTACTGTAATATTTGCAGTTATTTCAAAGTTTTTCAGTCCAATGACAGATTTAATCCCATGTGCAGATAATCTATGCCATAATCTATTTGCAAATTCAACATCATGTCATGACCAAAATGGCCTCCAAAATGCAACATTTGTATGTTTTTGATTCATGTAATTCAATTGGGGTTGTTGAACAGGTGGGCTGTCTTTAAATCTTTTTTTGCAAGGTTTGGGACAATTATATTGTACACAGGAATTGGGTCAAAATCACCATGTGAAGATGTTTGTATCACTTAGTCTTAATACACATATAACATGTGATGTCAAGTCATTTTTTTGTGTCTACTGTCGTATTCTGTACATGTTATTGTCAAATGATTTACTTAAGTAATTTAATGAATCATTCTAAAATGTTTGACTATATTAGGTTTTTATGTAAATAAAAAAGGCAATATATCATCATCAGACATTATCCGAATTTCTAAATGCTCAAATATTGATATTGACCTCAAAAATACAGTGTAGGAGTCGATATATCGTTTTTACCTGATTCGTCAACATGAACCCATGAGAACAACTGGTCAATGAAATCACCTTGAGCAGACAGGGAGGATTTGGATACTAGCCTATAAAAATATGCTCTGCAGTAAAGGGCTGTCTTGTATGTTTATTTGTAATATGCATCTGCTAATAATAAGTTATCAAAACATTTGGTGCAACCCGAGGGCCAAACCCCAGGTATCTGAACTGCACTACAGCTTTATACTTACATGTTGGCACGGGGCTCTGACAGGTCACTCCGGCCCAGCCTTTGGCACAGACACAAGAGAACTGGTTCACTTCATCCACACATGTCCCGCCATTCAGGCACGGAGAGGACGCACACTCATTGACATCTGAGGGAAAAGACAGACAGGAAGGTTGTAGAAGGAGACTACATTGCTACATTTGAACCTTCTCGAGATACAAGGACATATGCAACCGAATATCTTTGATGCATGAAGATCAGAGGATGTGATATCATTGCATATGCAAGTTAGAGAGTGAATAAGGAAACAATGGAGCAGATGAGTTAATGTTAGTATAGGAAACCCTGTCTTGATCAAACAGCCTTTGAGCTGTTATCTTAAAGTCAGTGAGCTGTCAGAGGACATGCAGGTTGGAATATCACATGTCGCAGCATTCAATAAGCTCTCTGGACAACATCCAGTGTATATAAAGAGGAAATATGATCATGGGTCACACATGAAATGTATCTCTACACAGAAAAACGTTGGTGACAAGCATGAAGCACAAAAAGAGGAATGGCAATAGAGAGGAGGAGAGGGGAAGGTTACAAAAGGACGATGACAGGGTTGTAGTGATCAGTGGGTTAGATAACAGGATGAGGGATAGTCAGGGTGACGAAGAGGAGAGATTCTGGTGGGAAGAGGATGAGGAGGAGGCAGTCTGTCACCTCGGCAGGTAGGCTGCTGGACGCTCCAGGTCAAGCTCTCCTGACAAACCCTGCTCTCTGATCCCACAAGTTCATAACCAGGGTCACACACAACGTGAACCTCATGGCCCACGCCGTGTGACTTGCCGAGTTTCCTTCCATTGATGGGCGCGTCCAGTTTCGGGCAGGTACCTGAAGGTGATAAAGAACCAGAAAGGCCGATATATTTCCACATCTAACATTTGAATAAATCTGTCTTTCTGAGGGTTTTGCTTACTGTTGATGGGTCTTGCGATCGTCTTCCCAGTGCTGCTCTGCAACAAGTTTATTTTCTTCTTCAGGTTGCGAAGACTCTGCAAGTACGAGGCTTCATGGGTTGAGAGAAGCTTCTGGACCTGCTTCAGAGAGCCCTGTATTTCCTGTCTACTAGGACAGTCCTGGAACAAAAATAGAGAGGATGACCAATGTCATTAAGTAATGATTAATATTTCACAACAACGTTTTCAAAGCTATAATTCACTGACAAGTACGTCAAATTTTCCCATTTTTATTTTCTATATTTTTATGTTTTACAAGTAAGTGTAGCCACATAATGGTAAGCATTTTCATTCAATGATTTTGATATGAGAACATATGATTTGTGTTAACACTATATTCTTCTGAACCACAGGAGCGTTAAAGAGTGTATTGCATTATACATAGTTTTACTATTTGGATCTTGAAGATATACAGAAATACAATTTTTTTATAATCTCTTACAAGTTGTCTTAAAAAGGAATGCTGTTTTGCTGAATTTATGAATACAGAAAAGCTACAAATTGAGAAATAAATATTTGTCGACATGGAAAAAGAGAACGCAAGACCACAGGCCAGAGATGTTGTTGATGTATTAGCCAGATAACTAACTTTCCATTCATCCACAAGACTCAAAACGATGTTAAAGATGCAAAAAAAAATACTTACCTTTAAAAAGCTTTCTATAGTTACCACACATTCTCCATTTTATCACACTCAATCATGTTGCACTTTCTTTATCACCACAATTCTGTTTATGATTGAAAATGTAGCCACCACATTATACCTCAGATTACACCTGCATGTTTTCATTTTGTGAGAATACTGTGTGCATAATGAATTACCTAAAACGTTCATACCTGAGGTTACCCAACCAAAAAAAAAAAAAAAATCTATTGCTTTATGACTCAAATGTGCAAGTAGAAGGTTTAATTTAAAGTACACGATGAAATTAAATCATGACTCTAAACAAAATTTGAAAAAACAATCAGCTTCACTGCATGTAAACAAACGAGTCGGCTGAAATACTGCCCTTGAAGACCTGCAGTACAGATGCTGGGCTGTTATATGAGCCAGTAAATGCAGTAGGATCACCGTATGTTTGGCCAAAGTAAGTATTTGCAAGCAGGGACCTCCTCTCAAAGCAAAGCCATACTGTAACTCAGTCATAAACACAGGAACACTCTCTCAAAGTTCACTATTCTTGTGATGTGGTTTTCACGCATGACCCCGTCTGGATGTTTAAAAGCTTCATTACATAAAGTTATGTAACTGCCATGTGTCCTTTTAGGAGAGGGGATGAAATCAGCAAAAGCTAACTTGCTCTTTATGATGTGGTGGATTTAGAGTCTCGGGGTCAGTCTGTCGGGTATGAACGCCCTCAGCATAAACATTACCTTTGCTACAACCTCCCTTTCTATTGGCGGCAGGGACGAGGGAGTGGCTCTGACTTGTTTTCTGTCCACGTCCTCTTCAACAGCGTCATTCTACGCCTTCTGCCCTGTCCTCTCATGCATGTTTTCAGACAACCAATTAGTGTTTTCGTCCAGCCAGGGTTATGTAAGAAGGGTCAATATTTGCTGAAAACACCTTTCTGATTTGGAAAGAACCAGGGTTTGGACAGGCTTCAGTCAGCTGGGAGGGGTAGCTGGTGTTTATAGTGTAGTTGTCAAAGGCCTCTTTCTGCCTGTGCTAAGCAACATTTCACATGGCTTCATTTTAACTGGGTGTGTAGGTGGCATGCAGTTCTGGAGCTCAAGATGACAGTACAGTACTATCAAATCTACAGATTAATATCACTTTTAAACACTGAAATACAATGTTAAACACCAACTTCACACATTCATAAACACAGTAAAGCATGATGGCCATCTCTCAGTAACACATGCATGCACAAACAAAGACAAGCATGCAAAGGCCTACGGAGAGTCAGTCACAAAAGATGTGGCTTTTTGGAAACATTTAGCAGGGTTGCATTGAAGCATAGCTATATTGAGTGCATCCATTCACTGCCTCTGGGGTCTTGTTTCTGAAGCTTGCATGCTGAGTGAAGGTGACTCAAGGTTTGCTTTGTCAAAAATCTTTTCTGTGATGCCAAGCAAGGGCACTCACAGTAAGAGCTGTTCTAAGAAAGGATAGTCAGATTTAAACAGTGTTTGCCTTTCAAGCTATACACGATAGTTAAGAGGCATATTGTAATCAGTTCAATAGATCAAATAGAACTGTCTTTGTGAGCATGTGTCAGGGCGTTCAACTTATTCCAACTGCATTAGCCTGTGTCATTGAGTTCACTCACCTGTCCAAAGGTAGGATGGAGCGAGCAGAAACACAACAAGGTGCTGACAATCGCAGCAATCATCTTTCCACTGATCCAAACCAACACGTCGACGATCAGTCCTCAAATGTGTTAGAAGTCTCAGGCAGCGTGAACTGAGTGCAAGCAGAGACTCCAGGTGAGAGAATGACCACAGTTGGCAGTTGGAAAATCTGCTGCAGAGAACTGCTGAGGAATGTTGGGTTTACTCTTCAGGAGCCAATCAGGAAAAGAGACTTTAAGAAAAATGTGACCTCACTATTATCCCTTTACCTAATTTGGTGTGCACTTCCTCTCTGTTTGAGCAGCTTAATTTGTATCTCGTTTATCAGTGGAAGGAAACTGATCTCCGCTGGAAAAGATGTTCTGGATCACAAGTGAGATGAAAGTCATCAGGATTAACCTGCTATCTCTAGTTTTTAATGTTTTCAGATGTTGTTAAAGGCTTATTTATACAGCAATCCTTAAAGAAGATTTAATCAAGCCAAAATTATCAGTTATGATAAATGAAAAATATATATTAATTGTAAAAATGGTTAAAATATACATTCTAACATTTTCTCCATTACTATACATCATCTAACTCATCTGACTAGGATCTGTCAGCTCAACTTAAAGTCAGAGTGCTATTTCTGACCTGTGATGGACACAACGTTCACTCACAGTGACGTAGAGAAGCTACAGACCAGCTGTGCCCTCTACAGGAGTATAGTCACTATGCATTCCTGTACTGTTTTTTAGTTGGCGATATGACACTGGAGTGAATATAAAAAGATGAATGAAGATGACAGGTAGTAGATATCAACTTTCTCTTAGTATATTGATACTGAAGGATGATAGCAATGGTCATTTACAGCTGTAAAAATAATCATTCCTTTTTCTTAACATTTACCCCCACTACATCGAAATAATTTAGACCCAGCTCCCAGCTCTTCAGCTCTTTCAAATTACTTTGCAAGTTTCACTCTGCAAGTTGTCTGTATCGTCAACATCTTCTTTAATACTGTCGGCTATGGAGGAAGTCAAATTACGTCAATTCTACAGACAAAATTGCATTTGTGGAAAATCCACAAAGGCAATCCAAATTGAAATCCAAAATTTAAATGAAAGGTTAAAGATGTGAGTGTGTCTGAGAATAAAAAAGTAACTGAACTCTGCTGCTGTAGAGAAAACATTTAGTTTGGAGATGGACTTCTGTCATCACTGCAGTTCAGAGAGTAATGAGGAGGCTAAGGCTCTTGGGAACTGATTGGAGCTCAAGCAGGAAGGAAGCAATGGTTCCTCTGGTCGTTGGATTCCCCTGAGAAATCCTCTTAGTGGCCAGGTCTGACTACGCCCAGAACAGATTGTGTGCAAAGCTGTTGTTTGTTCAGACAGTACCTTTTCTGATGCAGCAAAATTAAAGAGATAAGAATAACTGGCCAGCAAGGAGACTGAATCACATTCAGCCCACAGGGGAGACAACTCATAGTCTATTGTGTCTCTCTGCAGTCATTTTCACACACTGAGTCATCCCACGCTGCAGCCATAGAAAAACATTGTCACCATGTTCAAACAGACACCCAGACAGCTTCATCCTGTACCTTTCTAAACTCACACCTCTATCGGATCATTTTGTACCACTTAAAGTTCTACCATCTCATGTTCTGCTACACTTTGGAAAAATATCACAATCAGGTTTCGCTTAAAAAAAGAAACACCTCCTGCACCTCAGCCTGCCCATAGATCAGGAATACAGCTTCATCTGATTCATCAGAATGATGGACGTCAGTGTCTCAAAACAAACTTCCGCTCATTCAACAGTGATGGACCATCACGCTAAGCTCTCTTTTTGTCATTCAGAACAGGAAATGATGCTAGATATGATTAAGCGATATGTTTTGTCATCAAGGACTGACGGCTGACTGGCACTAGCAGCACACCCTCTGTCAGCGGTGGAAAATAGTATTTACTTTTAAATATACTCAGGTACTAATTATGTTTTTGAGATACTTGTTTTTTATTGAGTATGTTGATTCTATATTTTCTTTGTTATTCTAATCTACAACTTGTACTTTTAACTTTTTCTGTAGATATTGTCATACTTTACACATCATGATTTCACACACAATTCACATTTTCAACTTACAAACGTTTGGTTATGGATTAAAGTACTAAACTGACTAAATTCAAAAAGCTGGCTAAACATTCTAATGTATCTGTGATAATAATCCAATAATTTTTAGAAACATGTAACTCTCTAAAATGAAACACATATTCTTTTAGTTTTGCAAATTTTGGATGCATGATATTCTCTTATAATGTTGCATAGATACAGTTTAGTATGGTTACTTTTGCTTAAGGAAAGGATTGCAATAATTCCACGTGCTGTGATGACTGTAAGTAAAGAAGTACAGTCATTTAAAAAAACATTACATTTTTTCCCCAAAGTTACAGTATATTGAAACAAAGCCATGTTAAGAAAAGCATAATAAAGAGCTATGAGAAAGTGTCTTTGATTCAATGTATTTGTTTAAGTTGTTTTGTTTCTAATACATTAATAATTATATGATATTGAAACTATTTTGTCTTTTATCCTGAAACAGTCCTGCAATTTTCTTTTTCACTCTTTAAGTATGAGAGGTCAATCTCAACTTTCTATAATTACCTCCATGAGAATGACGAGGATTTACTGTCATCGTGCAACTTTGGAGATTTGCGCTATCTCGTTGAAAGGCAATTTAGTAGTCAAGCATCTTTTCAAAAAAGAAGGATTAGGAGAATATCCTAATGATTTAATAAAATATTGAAGAGTTAACTACAGTGAGAGTACTTTGAATAGATAGCTCGTATGCTCTGCTCGCTGCAGCCCGTGGTGAAAGTTGTTGTAGTGAAAAGAGGGAGGAGAAGGGCGGAGAGGCAGAGAGGCAGGGTAACTGAGAGCAAAGTGGACACTTTTGTTGGAGAAACTTCAGGAGTTCACAATGGGGTCCGGAACAGCGTCCCGGTGTTGGGATCTGTTTGTTGTTTTGTTTCTGCTACCGCCGTTTATCTACGCCAACCGGATTATCACAGACACACCGGAGCTCCAGAAATCCACCATCACCGGTAAACACACTTCAAACTGTCAGGTGGCCACGAGGGACGGTAGCTTACTCTAGTCTAGACCTCGTGCAGAATGACGAACAAACACACATTATTTTGACTGCTAAATAGAATTTAGACATGTTTCCGAGATGCAATTTAAACGATAGCAAGTAAGTGTAATATAATACGATTTTATAAGTTTTATAAGTGCAAGTTGTTGTCTTGCAATCAAGTGGCAATCCTTTAAGCTGTGGACTCAAGTGGGCATTCTTAGCTGTCCAAATCCACCTGGCAAAGCACCAGCGGCTCAACTTTTCTGTCTGCTGTACAGCAGTTTGGCATCAGCTTAAAAATTACCATTTTGATGGCATTTTGCCAAATGCAAGGCGAAATTATGAACCTATCATTGAGGAGCAGATCTCTCTACTCTTTAACTTTTAGGTGAAATTGGTAATAAGAAACTTTAAGGGATGAAAAAGTTTTATTTGATTAAAACATGAAACTCTACACTAAAATGTTATAAATGTACAATCTGCCCTTATATTAATGATTTCAGGACCCAATCAGACCTAATTTAATGTAATATAGGATTTATTCTGCAGCTACCAAGATTGCAAAGTTTTGAAGAGGTAACACTTTATTTTAACCCCTTTATCTAGAAGTAGTATATTGACCTAAATGGTTTAACATGTACTACAACATAACTATATTATAATTAGGCAGATATAATGACATTTTAAATGTTTATTAATGTACAGTACCTTCAACAATTATGACTGCTCTTATGAAGACACATATATACATTTGTGTTACATTCATTATCTTCCTATATGTTTCTATAGTGCTTATACTGTATTTATACTGTCGGCCTAAGAATCCTATTTTTTAGGAATTTTAAGTGTTTTAGGGGATGCTTGTTTACTCAGTACGTGGCACAATTTGTAAAAATATTGTTTTGAGTTTTCGTTTCAATTTTTGTGTGTTTAACCCAACTGACCCCGAGGGAAGCTGTGACAGACTAATCCACTTTGCAAACTCTCTCACACACACACACACACACACACACATACACACACTCAAGCGTCCCAAAACATTTGCATTCCATTGCCATGGTGACGGCAGCAGGGGCATAGTAACTAAATGAGCGTTTCTGTTTTTTTCCAGGGCTGGGGGTAAAGGAGCACTCGCAGATTGTAGGCCAGCACAATAGACTCCGCAGCCGGGTCAAACCCATGGCAGCTAACATGCAAAAAATGGTTTGTGGCATCTATTGTCTGTTTCTTCTGTGTGTGTGTGTGTGTGTGTGTGTGTGTGTGTCTGAATTGTATGAATGCTGCTGTCACCTAAATGTGAGTTTAAGGCAGTTTAAATTATTGTCAGCCTGCATTCTGATTTTCAAACCAAAGGTTAGTCTTTCTCTGCAGCACACATTTGTCTCTCGTCAGGAGTTGCTGTTCTGTACTGTAGACTTTCTCTCCCTTCACCAGTGGAAGATATTTGGCCATGTGTTACAAACTTCAACCAATATGGTTTTGAGTTCAAACAAGCTTGCAGCTGCCCGTGCAAAACCCAAGTAGAGAAAAATAGTATTGTATTGTATGATGATCATGATGATGATGATGGTATCAGTAATGGTGTCAACAGTTCTGAGAGGCTTGTAGTTCCAACAAAGCTCTGTTTTTACTGTTTGTCAATCTAACTACACAGTCAAAGCTCAATATGGCACACAAAGCAATTAATCAATCAAAAGTCTCCAGTTCTCCCACCACAGTGTGACCATTTGCATTGGTCCCTGTACAAGACAACTGTTATTAGAGGACAAGTCCATCAAAACCGCCAGTTATTTCACAAAAATATTATTTTTTTTAGAAGTGAAATGACTAAACAAAGGCATGAATCGGAAAAGTGTTTTTAGTTGAGCTGTCTTCCTCTGTGGTACTGATATCTACAGTGTGAGATAGTTGTCTTAGTGCATCATTTGTTGTACTCTGCTGGAGGCTAAATGATAGTGTGGACATTCAGAATGAAGCCAAAATCAATTGAGTGAAATGATACCAATGATTTTTCTTTCCTACAGAATAAGAATAAACCTAAGAAACATTTTACATTTGTTAGTCTCTTAATGATCAACACATATAGTTAAAATACTGTCTTAGAGTGATAAAGATAAAGTTAATAAAGGGTCATGCTGAGGTGTTGCTGAATGTGCAGCAATTCTTAATATTAATGTTTGACTCAGGTTTTTCCAGTCTCTGCAAAACAGCCAAGCTACAGTAAATCCTCTCCTTATCTTACTCCATCAATTGCTGCGCTATACAATTCTTATCCGCACAACTGTCTCGTCTGCATGTGATTATTGCTGCAAGGTAACGATGGATTATGAAAGTCACAATGCATTAGATATCACCCGGGCCTAATATGAGATTGGTGCCAGGGCAAACTGTCACTTTGTCATAGATTACATCCTCAAAGCCACCCGTACAGACTGAGCCCCCTTTCTTCGACTGCTCTTCAGCCTCGGAGAACTGTTCTCAACTGATAAGGCAGTAATGAGAAAAAGAGGATGTGGATAATCATTCTGCATTCACATCTGTGGTATTACAGGTAATTTCCCAGTGAAAACCCTTAGAGGAAGCTTTGCCGAGCTGAAGAGGCATATTAAAGAGCTTTACTGATAAACGTTAAAAGGCTCAAGGCTCGGGCTGTATTTGTGAATATCTGAATGAGTTTTTTTTCACAGAGGAATGAACCAGTAAGCATTGTGGGGAGATTGTGTTGAAGTGATTATAATGTAGACCTTTCGGCTTTGCTTTCAGGGTGAGATAAAATACCAATATTTAAGAAATGAGTGATGCTCCTCCCTTTCTTACACCCTGTCTGTAGGTTTTCTTTGAGCTCTTGAGGAAGTATTATGAGGTCATATATTCACTCTCAGAGACAGAAATGAAAGTTCAGCGTTTACTTTTGATATTCAAATCGTTTTGTGAGATTGTATTTTATTAACCATGCTCAGATCTTCTTCAGCTCCAGCACTTCCATTTGAATGCAGTTGCGGGGGGGACAAACAGATCTGCAAAACTTTGCAGAGAAATATCAAGCTTTATTGATTTAGCTAATTTGGTATAGTGCAGTTGTTGATTGCGCCACAAAGTAGGCAAAACAGAGTATAACTCACATACGTATATCCTAGTGAGACATTCAAATCGCACAGTGGATTTAACATGACATGCCTTGAAATGAAATGTCTTAGATGAAATATTGCCCAGTGACCTCTGGTGGCATCAACGTGTGAGCCGATGACTTTGCCTGGCAGACATCAGAGAGCAGAGTGAACAATGAGCTCAAGGCGGCTCCGCCTTTCTAAGCCACACTCATACTTCTGATGTCTGTCCTCCAGACTCTGTCTAACCATAAAGAAAAGTTTCTGGACAGATATTTGATTCGATTTACGAGAATGTATTACTTTCTAATAAGGTACCTGTAAGGTTTTGATGGTGGTGAACCATTACTAACAGGATGAGAGCTGGCGGTATTAAGGTGGAAAGTGTAAGCGACAAATGAGCAGCATCAGTTAAACAGGGATTTTTTTTTCCAGTGCTCTGATATTTAATGGTGATCATTCAACTTGATTCAACTTCACTCAAATGTGTCATTTCATTCATTTATTATCATTTTCCATATTGAATCTATAACTTTCCACATGCGGTTGGCTTTCCGAGTGGGAATATCTGAATGTGACGTTTGTACTCCAGTTTATGGGGCAGAGTGATTGATTGTGGAAACCAGTTATTTATGTGAATCAGCCACTACAAATCTTGGAGAATGTGTGACTTAGTGAAATGTTTATATGTAGCACAGGATGAGTGTCAGTTTGTTGGCCCTGCCACGGACTGGCAGCTTGCCCACGATGTCTCCCTGCCTTTTGCCAACTGTACTCTAAGACTGGCTCCGACCCCTGAAAAGGATTATGCGGGATAAGAAAATCACTCATGCACTATTAGGAATGACCTTCATGCCAAATAGCGTTTTCTTTCATTCAGTTTTAATCAGTATCTACAAAGTACAATATGACCTTCATCTGAGATTTAATGTGCAGCTCCAACAGACCCCAGTAACATACTTTCATAATTAAAAGAGTTGATTTTGAACATCTCCTGCTGGTAATAATTGATGCGCTCATGAATTCTTCAATTTAATAAATAATTCATTATTCATTATTTATGTGGAATTAAACAGCTTCAGAAGTCCTAGAAATGTTGCGTGGGTTTCTGACGTACATGAGGCAGCAAACAGATGACCTGTGACTAATAGTGATGGGCAAATCTGACAAGAAGTGTACATGATATATATAATCTGAAGGTTTGTTGGAGCCCGACACAGAAAACTATAGAGGATGAGATGAAAACCTTTGATTTTATCAAACAGATCTGCTTTACACTATTTAATCAAAAGACAGAGAAAGCTTCTGAAACACACAGATACAATAAAGTAATTATGGTAACTTAATGTTAGCTTCTTCAGACTACAGTCAGTGTGCTGGTTAGCAGTAGACCTCCCTGTGCACATGTAAGATACTGCCAGAGACAAAAATTACCTTTAACGAGTTTTACTGTAAATGTTAGAAGTGAAAGGTGTGTTTTATTATTGTCATTACAGGAGTGGAATGAGAAGTTGGCCCTACTTGCAAAGAAGAGGGCAGCATCGTGTCTCACAGACCCCGCTCCTCAACACGCCTCATCTTTCAGCCATATTGGGTGGAACACACATCTCTCTGCTGATGGTGTCACCTCATTTTCTGATGCTATTCACTCTTGGTTTGAGGAGGGGAAAGATTTTCTCTACTTGAGTGGGCAATGTAGGGAGAATGCCACCTGTCAACACTATACACAGGTACAAACAAGCAGATACAATCTCTACCTGTGTTTGTGTGGAGTCACACTTTTACAGTAAAAACTGTATGTGCTGATGTAGTGTGTCTAAATCTTCTGTTGTTGTGTAGTTGGTGTGGGCCACTTCAAGTAACGTGGGCTGTGCCAGCCAGCTGTGTCTGAGGGAAGGAGATGTATCGGAGATCTTTGTCTGTGCATATTACCCTGGGTAACAATTACAAAGTTTTCCTCCAAAATGAATTGATGAATTCATCTGAGAGCAGCAAAGGATAAAGTCTGAAAATGAAATATTACTTTTAAAATGAATACTCAGTTTTAAACAAAATACAAAAGGTTTTATCTGCAATCCAGCTCATAAATCTTCTACTTATATGAAAGGTCAATACTGCATTCCAGGGAGTTCCTGCTACTAGAAAGAAAATAAAAGATACAACTATCTATTTAAAGGACTCAGAATATGATTATTGTAAAATCAAGTACCTGTTCTAGACATTTTGAACATTAATATGGTTCTAAGGCCCCCTTATGCTACTCTAGATCTTGTGTGATGTATGTATTTGTATTGCTGCAGGGGTAACTGGGAAGTGAATGGTTGGCTGGTGATGCCCTATAAGACGGGGCTGTACTGCTCTCTCTGCACCTCTTCCATGTCTGGCTGCTTTAGACTCTGGGATCATGTAGGTGGATTATGTGGTAAGACAATTTATATGTGTGTGTATATATATATAGGGGACAGACATGCATGTCATGCTCACTGTATTTTTGAAGTATAGAAACAGAATTTATACCACTACTACTACCACTAATGTAGTGATGACCATTGTGCTCCTCGAGGCCATTTCTGCACACCTATCAATGATATGTTTGCGATTGTTAGTAATACATATTAATCCAATTAAACCAAGGTGGCAGATGCACACATGTACATAGTAGCTTATATATGTGTATGAAATCAGTTTTTCACCATTAATGCCAGTTACTTTGTCATTCACAAAGTATTTTGTGTATTCCATGCTATCCTGGTTATATCACTTTCACTAGAATTAGAGTTCTGCTGATTTTGGCTAAAATGATCAGATTTCCACGTGTTCATTTTGCACTGTTTGTGTGTGCATTTATGTGTGCTTGCACATCTGTTGTCAGAAATCCCAAGGAATCCATGTCGAATGAGCTGTGGTCAACACGGCCATCTGAACATCTCATCCTGCAAGTGTACGTGTGACCCAGGCTTCACCGGACGCCTCTGCCAGGGTACCAATCATCAACATCAAGCGTAGCAGTATGGATATAGTACACATATTAATATCAGGCCTCATTAAATTGATCTGGTTTCTTTAAAGTTCAAAGTAGAGAGGCCGGTTTCACTGTACCAAGTGTCTGTTTTTCAGTACGGTGCAGTGTGCAGTGTGTACACGGTCGGTTCAAAGAAGAAGAATGCTCTTGCTTGTGTGATGTTGGCTATGGTGGTGCTGAGTGCGCAGGCAAGTGCAGTATGCTTCTTTGTGTTTTCATATACCTCAGCAATTTACACTCTGAGACGCACAGAAACACACATACTGAGGAGATTCATGTGGTTGCTGCTACATTCTGTATTTATCTTAAGAGAGTCTGGTGACATGAAGAGAACATGGTGAAATATCTATCATAGTGATTTATTAGAGGTGGCATCAAACACCATTTTGTGGCAATATGATCCACAGTATAGGAAGTAGAAGGTACATTTTTACACCTTTAATATTTTACGTACACTGTCAGAATGTGTCTCTGTGCATTTTTTGTAAATTGATTTGGTTTCAAAACTGTAATGGCTAAAAAGATTAGAAGATATTTAAGTCTGTTCATTGAGCTTGAGCCATTATGGATGGTATGAATCACTATTGTTCATTTTTAGCGTATTTTGGTGGCTTGTGTCCCAACAGAGAAAGTGCAGTTTCCCTTCCACAGCTGTGATGTGATGATAGATGGTGACTGCTTCATGGTGTCTTCAGATACTGACACCTACTATGGAGCAAAGAGTCACTGTCAGGTGAGAGACAGGTGTGTGTCGTCCACTGAGAGAGTGAGACAAGCTCTACAGTCATACTGTCATAGAACTCTACATATTTCATTCAACTTCCAGTGTAGCCTTGTCTTTTGTTTACACCACCAGGACCGACGAGGTATTCTAGTTCAGATCCACAATCAGAAGGTTCAGGACATCCTGGCGTTTTACCTCAGCCAGCTGGAGACGAGCAACGAGGTCACCAACAGTGACTTTGAGACCCGAAATTTCTGGATGGGTATAGTCTTTCCTCCAAACAATTTAAGATACGATAATGTTTTCTAACACCGAACAGCAATGCCAGATTAGGTGGCAGACACTGCTGTAGTTTTGAACAGATGTTCTACCGGGTGGAGGTTATGGAGATGCTGCACGGATAAGACAGCAATGTTTTTGCTCCGCAGGTTTGACATACAAGCCTCTGAAAGACTCATTTCGCTGGGACACAGGAGAGATCCCTACTTTCAGCAGCTTTGCCTTCGGGCAACCTGACAACCAAGGGTAAGAGACACATTCACTAACAGACAAAAGCTCCTGCGGAGCACATCATAAACAGACGGCCAAGTGCAATGGAGCTAAACAAACAGACAAAAAGCAGATAATGTGAAAGGTAGAAAATTGCTTTTTTGGTGTGAGATTCAGGCTTTTTTTCAATCTGCTGATGTGTCTGCTAAGGATCTGCAACATGTATAATTTATTACTGCAAGAGATTTCTGTAGTTTGCTCTTTCATTTGTTTTCATCTCTGAAATAACATCCAGCATGAATAGCACTTAATATGAAATGATCCACTAAGGTTGACTCAAATACATTTTATTGTTTATAAATGGAATTACCTGGAAAAGACAGTGAGATTAACTTGCAACCTCCGCATTTACCACTAGATGTCTCTCTCTTTCTGTGTTTGCCTCACTCTCTTCCTCTGTTCTATCGATCCATCTAAACAGCTATCATATATGTCTGTAATACTTTCATAATAAACTAGTTATTAATAACAAGTTTTTATCATGTAGTCTTGTTTAAATTAAATACTATTTTCTGATTTCTTTATCTGTATCTGAATATATTTGGCCACATTTGAAAATATGTGTTTGTTTGCTTAGTAAATGACTGTAGTAAAAACCTATATTATCCTCTGCTTCATCAGAAATTCAAACAAACAAAACTGGTCTGAAAAAGTATTTAAGAAATTTCCTTTCAACTTTACAATAATGCTTTCTGATCAACAGCTCAAAAAAATAAGATGCAGAGAAAAACTTGTCCACAGAGTCACTTACGTATCTCTCTCTGTCTAGCTTTGGAAACTGTGTGGAGCTGCAGGCAGCAAGTGCCTTTAACTGGAACGACCAGCGATGTAAAACGCAGAACCGATACATTTGCCTGCATGGTAAGGCTCCATCTGGGGAAGGGTGAATAAAGTCAGGAAGTTTGTGATCCACTGTCAGGCGAAAGCCGGTACAGTGAGCTGGGTGAGTTTGGTGAGTAGGATGACTGGCATGATGGAGCGCCAGTCTGAAGTCGTGGTGTTGCCGGATGTAGTGCATCATTGTCCGGTAGACAAACTGCTGGGGGTTCAGCAGGGCTCCTGTGATGTCCTTCAGGTGGGTCAACACCAGTATCTCAAAGGTTTTCATGACCACAGCGTCAAGTTGACAGGCCTGTAGTCATTTAAACCTGTGATGGAGGGTTTCTTGTGGACTGGGATTATTGTGGAGCCTTTGGATTGAACAGTGATCTGTTGAAGATCTGTGTGAAGACTGAAGTGGAGACATTGATTAGATTCAGTGTCAAAAATATCACTTAATGGAGCTTAACAACTTTTTGTAATCGTTTGGATAGTAGCACCTGCTGTTCTCTAATTATTTGTGGCTGATAATCACAGCAGAGTGACGTCTAAAATGTTAATCCAGTGTGTCCATTAATGATATGAACACACCATTGAAAGATCTGTGTGATCCTGCCTACACATTTAAACAAGGCACTCAGTCTAAATCAATGGCACTCTGTGCTCGCCATCCAGAGCCTTTGAGCAATCAATATACATCAGCCCCACAAAGGCCTGCAGTGTTTGGACACACACATACCACTTACATTGATCGTAAGGAATGAGAGGGTGGCAGATGTTTAGTTTTTCCCACTTGAGTGTGTCTTTGTTCGTGGTTGCTGTGTAATCTGGTATTGATCACCCATAGCTGAATGAGTGATCTGCTCTGAATGTGGTCAACATTGCCAGTGCCACCTTTTTACAACCTGCTTTTTGACGACCTGCTAATGTCTCTCTCTGTGTAGTTTATGTTAGTGTAAAACAGGACTAGCAGATCATGATCAAAAGGGGCTTTATTGGTCAAATTATATATCAGAGCTAATTAAACTGCATACTGTAGTGGTCATTAACAAAGCTAAACATATGTGAATATTCTTTGATCAATAATTTTCCGACCCGTCCTCTCGAAATAAAAGGACATTTTCACTGAAGCAACAAAGAGTGAAATGCATAAATTCAGCTGATTATAAGCACACAGAGCCCTCCACCCCTTCAGAGTGATCTCCAGCCTTCATTGCAGTGTTGTGTTAATTGGTGATAAAATGATAAGTGGATATAACACAGCCTGAGGCAGACACTAAGCTGTGTTTCTCCAGAGCGCTGTCTGGGTGTGTGTGCGTGTTTCCATATGCATTTAAAGAGTCTCAGTCTCTTATGTCATGTTTCAGATTAAAAGTTTCCTCACAGCCACATTTGCGTATAGTATTGAAGGATTATTGGGGATTCATGCACACACTTAACTTCCTTTTTTTTTGACAATGCTTTTGTGCTCAACATGCAAAATTCTGTAAATGTTTGCATTGCACATATCTATAATGTGTGTGTTTGTGTGCCTTTCACAGCTGCTAAGCACATTGCCCAATGGGAGGACAGCAGTTGACTTGGATTTCTCAAACGGGGTGAAACTAACTGTGCAGTATGTGTTTAATGTCGGTTGGGACAATGGCCATGTTTTTTTCAATCATTGTACACAGATCAATGTAGTTTAGATGTACTGTATATACTGTACATGTTTGAGTTTGCAATTGTTTATCATTAAATGGTTGAATGTTACTCAGAAAATGAATTATTTCATTCTTTGCATATGTCCTCTGAGTGAGTGGCTTCAGTTGAAATAAAAAAAGGCTGTTGTATCCTTTCCACCCACCATCATGTGACCTCGAAAATCGATTTGGTCGGCAGTTCTCTTAATGCTGCTCAGTGAAATGAGGAGAATGAAAAGAGAAGAACTCTTACAGTTGTGATGGTGGGCCACGTTGAAACCACATCATTTCAGAGAAAAGTGCAGACAGGGCAAATAACATAAGCACTAAAACTACACTAAAGCAAAGAACTGGATGATTAAAGCTCAGATTTCCTGTAAGTCGAGCCAGCTGTCATACCAGTATCGTTGATAGAGCAGATAGGCACCCGAGAGGAAGAAAATAGCACAATACAGTAAGAGTGTTTTATTTTTAAAGTGAACTGATTTTTTTTTTTCTCTGATCCCCAATAAGTTGATAATAACAACTTTACAACAAAGTTGGATTTAAATGTTTCATTTGAGAAAGAAAAACAAGGTATTTAAAATCACTTTCCAACTGCAGAGAGCAGTCCTGTGAGGCAGTGCTTATAGTGTTGACGAGTAAAATGATCTCGGGAAGAGAAAAAGCAAACTATGACCAAGCTTACAAAAAATAGATTTAAAAAAATGTAATGTTGGCCTACTGGGCTTCAAATCCTGGTCCTATCATCATGAAAAACGTTGCAGAGAAAACTATATTTGATGAAAGATTGATTCAGCACCTTGGACAGCGAAGGTTTCTGGAACATTAGGGCCTCTATGAAGGTTATGACTATCCACACCTACCAATGAAATTACTGTGATGTAACAGGTATGGTAATGCCTTCAGTATACGGGAGGCGATAGATTTACTAGACCTCTGTTTAAATATCACATCGAACAACAAACCTCAAGGTGCTTAATGTGTTTCTGCTGCTGATTTGCCCACAGCGCTCATCAACACTGACTCAGCAGCCAGAAACAAAACTGGATCTGTCTGCATGTAGAGGCCACAAGTTAGAGAAGATGACAAGAAATTGACATATAAAGTATATGCTCAATATGTCACACAGTCAAGGAGTTGTTTAGTCTATTTCGTATATTGTTTTCATATTATCACTTTTTACAATGTGGTATAATTAATAACTTATAAGGAGTGGATCTGGTCTGCGCTGCCTTTGTCAAGGTTGAAAGGAGCAATAAAGTTTGCTCACTTGGTTCGGACTACGGAGCCTTTGTGTTGTCATTTCGTATATATAGGCGCAACTCAACCTGTTCCGCATCACTTGATTGGTTGATGCCTTTATTCGCACTGCAAAAGATTGAAAATTTTACCTTGTGCCGAAAAAAGTATGTAGCTATTTCACGGTGTGATATTTACGTTGTGTGTGAAAATGTTCATAACAAAAACAAAAAAACAGCTCGGAAAAAATATATTGACGTGCAAACTAATTGCACGAAACGTGTGTAAAGGGCTTTACTGATAACAGGGGGAAAGAGCAAGTCAGCTGACAGTTTAATGTTTCCAGCCTTTATGCTAAGCTAAACCCAAAATCTTGTGTGTCCAGCTTTCTATTGAACAAACAAAAACGAGAGTTGTATCACTGATATGTTTGGAAAATGTAAGTTCTTTTTGAGAATTGAAAATACATTTCTGTTGGTTTTGACAATGTTTGGCTGCACAACAAACATTTGTAATCACTAAGCTACTGATGGGTCACTGGGATTAAGAAGTTACATTTATTTTACTAACACTAAACACTAACACTTTTACATTGTCACTAGATCAGATATGTATCATGTCCATGTTGAAGAAATAACAACATTCATTTAGATTATTGTCTGGGCACACAGTGTGTCACTAAGTGAGATGTGCTGTGTAATAAACTTTTTTTGCTGATTAGTTGGTTCATGCCTGTGACTGCCTCTCTAAACAAAATATGAATTCCGATTGTGTTTGTGTGTAGCTGCCTGTGAGTGTGTACTGTATGTGTAAATCTTTACCACAGACGCGGCGCTAGCGCAGCTTCCTGCTGGTCTCATGGTGCCCCGTGATAAGCGGATGCTGCAGAGGGTTTCAGAATGGCGCCGTTGGCAGTGGAATTAGCTTCCATTGTCATGATAATGACAGTGATACTCTTGCCCCGTCCAACTCAGACCAGCCATTGTATGGAAACAGGAATGCAATTTCTCCTGCAGCAGCAACCGACAATCCTCTATGAGAGTGAAAGGTCCCTAAATGACTTCCCATTCAGGCGAGGCTGAGGGGCCAGCAGCCAATTAAAGTGGGAGCAGCAGGACAGTGCCATCGCAAAGACCTAAGGCTGTCTCTAAACACACACATTAAGCAATAGGGAGTCGCTGTATTTTCCTTTGTACAAAGAACATCTAATCCCCTAAACTATCTTTTTCCTTACAGAAGTGATTATTTTGGGGGAACAGGCAGTTTACACTAAATAACTCAAGAGGTTTATTCAGCACACTATGTCCACAGATTCAGGGACACAAGATATTGATTTGAAAATGCCTAAATATTGGAGTTGGGGGACAGAGTTCGTGGGAAAAGTGGAAACACTCTCCAACACCATCTATCATGGTTAAATTCCATGGTGTTAATAGTAGCAGGTAGTCTCCCCTGTGTTTATCTGAGTCACGATGGAGGTTTCCACAGTTCTTCATGCTACTGAGCTGTGAGTAAAGTGCATGTGTGCTGTGGGACTCAGAAAGCCCTGAACTAAGAAGAAGCCCATTGAACCAGATGAGTTTGTTTTAAGCAACACTACTATTAATCACCCGCCGCAGCACCGTCAATTCTCCTGAGACAAAAACACTCCTCTTGAATGCTTCATTTAATCTGCAGCCACCTTCCCTCCAAAACATTTTCAAATTTTTATTTCCACTGCTTATTCAAACGCGTTTCTCCATCCTCTTTAGAATTCCAGTTTTCACAGTCAAAAACATTTTGTGATACTTATTGAAATAACATATATATCTTCAATTGTTTAAATGTGTGTTGTTCAGTCTTCTTGGGGCATGCACAATGCTCAAAGAGCAAGTGTCCTGTTTGTCTCCTTCTGTTATTGATATATTGACCGCTGTCATATCAAACTACTCGCAAAGATCTACAAATATCATTGCAAACTTTTGTATGCTGAAAAATTTATTTTTATTTTTGTATTATTAGCATTTTTAGGCAATGGTGTAACTTGCTAGCACACATACAGCGTCTTGTCACTTAATGTCAAATTGAGGTTTTGTAAAGTTGAAATTGTCGGACATCGGACAGGTGTGAGGTATTTGACCTCTTGTTCTAACAAGCACTTCAGATGGAGAGTACAGGCAGCGGGTTGCGTGTCTTTGACATGCTGTTTTAAATGCTATAAAAGCACACATCTGTAAAGCTGTGTAAAGAGTTGTTGTCCACATTCTGACCCGTGTAACCCCTTTTTAACCAGTCCTTTACTGAACCGTGACAGCTAACATATAATAACAATACCCCAATACTACGACAGTAACTTCTCTGACCACATGGAGTGGAACTTATTCCTTTCTATCCCTTTCTCATTGGGAAACAAACCCCTCTAAAAGAAAAACAAAAAGAAAACTGAATAGTATTTCCTGTGTAGTCATAGCCTGATACAGTTTATTCCTCCGTGCCATTTAGCAAAACTATTAAAACAAATCAGTTAGCCACACTGCTATACTGGCAGAGATTACAATGAATATGGGCACTGTAGTGTATTTAAGTCAATTCTACAAACACTGTCCTCTACAAACACTATTCAGTCCTGGACAACAGTATTGGCTCCTGACATTTTTAGTGTGCTGATGTCAGGAAAATATGACTGCTAATCTGAAACACCACAGTCATTAACAGGGACTAGAGCAATTGGGCACAGGTTTTGTGGGCTGTTAGCAGTACGTTGGCTAGGCATCATATGCAAAGTTAGATACAGACACAGTACAAAATAGCTATCCATCAGATTATTTTACAAGTTTAGATGAAAGCTCTCATCAGACAGCAGGATTTCTTATCATAAGCAGAGTTCTTGTGTGTTTAAGCATCTTGTGTTAGTCATTGAAGGCTGCAATCAGTCTCCAATTATCGCTCTTTACATCTCAATGAGGAAATCCAGCTGCACTGTAGGATCTGATGATACATTAGGAGGAGTAACTGTGTGTTTTTTTGAGAAGAGGTAAATGATACTTACAGACAGAATTACAGGGTGATTTTTAATTATCTGAACAAATCAAGTAAAGATTGCACTAAGTACTCGCTTTATGTCTCCACCTGCTCGTGTGCTCTGTTTACTGAAGCTGGGACAGTGTTTTCATCTCTGCCGAGCTCCTTCTAGTGGTTTGTGAGTATTGGCATTTCTCTTTTGATGCTGGACTGAAAGCAAATAACATGAGGGTATTCATCAAAGGGCCTATATTGTGTGAGTGAGATTGAATTATGATTATAAATTCTATTTAATTATTTGTCCAAACCAGTTATGCTTCTCTAACTTCTTTTCCAGCTCTACAAATCCAAAATGGACAAAGAAACGTATTGGTCTATAGAAAAAAAACAACATAACATGCTTATCAGAGTTTCAGATATGAACACAGTTAATTTAACATCAAACCAATATTCAGTCTATAGTCAGAGGACTGCAGTGATTATTCTGCCTGTTCTCAATCACCATTAAACCATTATTTCTCTGTCCTTTATCTACATGATTCTCTCTCTCTCTCTCTCTCTCTCTCTCTCTCTCATTTTCTTTTTTCAGTGCAGCATTTGGATGCAAGATGAACTTTGATAAGAGTTAATGAGAACACAGCATTGTCCGGGGAAAGAATGGCTCGGGCTGCACTCAAGAGCCTCCCCACCAGCCACTCACTCCTCTGGGTTGGGAGGAGGATAGAAGAGAAGAGGAAGACAATAGAGAACGTGCAAAGACTGGGTTGAAAAAAATGTGGGTGTGAAGGACAGGAAAAGAAGAAAAGACAATACTGTATATGATTAAGG